TCTTAGCTAAGTCTGGGAAACTGCAACTTCAAAAAAAAAAAAAAAAATAAGGGAGAATGCTCCTAATCTCGCAGAGTGACTATCAAATAGCCAATGAACGGTTACACTGGTCATAACCTTCTAAATGTCCTCGGGAGGCTGAACAGTTCTTCTGGTTGTTGTACAAGTGCCCTCATCTAACCATGGCCTATTGATCTCTCTTCTCAATTCTACATCTGCTAATACTCTGTAATAGGTGACCATCCTGGCTAGCTCATCGGCCCTGCAATTTCCTGCAATATCTCTATGTCACGGGACGCATAGAACTTCTGCCAGATAAACACTGCTTTGGTCTGAAATTCGCACGGATAATTCCAATCCTAATTCCTCACAGAAAATTCCATAGCCAACCCTATTGTTTAGCTTAGATCGATCCGCGTAAAAATTTAATTCGCCCCCTTCTTCATGGTCTCGGTGTTTGTCACTCTCTTCTTGAGGGAATTTCAGTCTTGGAAACCCTACCGAAGGTGGGTTCAGGAGCAGCGTAGTCACCATATCAGGTGTTGAGAACTCGCAACGGACTTTGTCACGCTGCTGCTTTCAATTGCTTATCCAAACTAGTTAATGAATTTGAATTAATTTTTTTTTTGGAGCCAGCGTCTTTTTATTGAGCTAATTTTTTCACTACAAGAATTTAGTAGTTAAAAACCAACTAAAATTTAATTATTCCACTACAACATTGTATTCTAAAATTTTACGTGGTTTGCTTACAAACCACACCACAATTAGAGATTTAATTTAATTTATTTACCATAAAATTGATGGTTGCTGAAAACTCTTCAAGGTAAAAGTTTAAAACATGCTATAATTGTGGGTAGCGGAAGAGCGGTGTGAAGCTAAGTGTTTCAATACGAGTAGCAATAATAAAACTTTTCTACCAATGTATATTTTGACAGGTAATGCACGTCAAAGTTAGTTAAAACTCAAGTACATAACTACTGGGGAAATTTGTAGAGGGATTAGGGCAGAATATAAGCAGATATGGAGTGCAACTATTTTTATTAGGGCGGGTCAATTTTATTTGACTATGCGCGTACAATAAGGAAGGACGTTTGCCAAATTGGGATAAAACGTTTCGAAGAAAATGTTAAATTTTCACTGCTATGCTCTTCGGTGGAAGTTTTAAGAAAAAGATAAGCGCCTCATCCCAAAAAACCCTTTATAGCATGTTTTTATAAAAAATTTAAGCACTTCTTTACGACACTAACGCAAAATGATACGAAAACTATTTTCGCAATATGGCAAACTTCAAACTGATTTTAGACTTATAGTTTTTTTCGGCAAATTCGCTTAGAATTCCACGTAGAATCCTTCTATGCTATACGCGCATAATCGATAAAATCTTACATACAAACTGACCCGCCCTAATATACACACTTATGTGAATTAGCGTAGACAATAAGGATTTAGGTATGCGGTTGTTAAAATCGAGTACTACGTGTGTGTTTGTTTTTCAATTACAGTAAGCTTTTAGTGCTATGAAGTACTAACTTTTATATTAGTATTAGCTAAGTTATATTTGAAAAAAAAATATATAAAAAAATAACATAGTTGTGGGGATCTATCTAAAAACCCATATTTCTAAAAAGGCGTCGCTTTCCTCATGGTCCTTTTTACACCACATTCGTCAGCAGCCTTA